TTCTTCACCAAAAGGGTAGTCAGGCATTGGAACAGGCTGCCCAGGGAAGTGGTGGAGTCCTCATCCCTGGAGGTATTTAAAAGACTGTAGATGTGGTGCTTGAGGAGATGGTTTAGTGGTGGAGTTGGCAGTGCTAGGTTAATGGTTGGACTTGATGATCTTAAAGGTCCTTTCCAACCTAAATGATTCTACAATTCTATGATTCTAAGGTATTTGAGACATGCTCTGAGACTGGGAAGGAGGACACGAGACAAATGGGAAACCTACACCTTTCTGGATGGACAGTCAGAAGCAGGGCAGGATATCCTTGTGCACCTCAAATGATGCTAGATACTTGTGTTTAATTAATTAAAGTTATTCTCCTAGTGGCCGGTCAGTTGAGTGGTTCCCTAGACCTTGTTGAGTGCTATATGAGTTTAGACACCGCTTCTGTAATTTTCTAAAAAATTCTTGTTGTTGTTGCCAGTAGTGTGGTTTCACTGACAATTACAGATAGAAACATGCAGAAGGCACTGGTGTTCTCACAACCATGCCACTTGATTTTCCCATAGTGAAAGGTCAATAGGATAACTGCCAAGTGGAGGGGAGATTGTCTTAAGAGGAAGGACAGTAGGGGCAGGAAACCTGTAAGGCAGATCTTGATATGCTGAAAGAGACTTGGACGCATCATTGCCCTGTAACAGCACAGAACTGAACTTTAATGTGAGCGATAATTTCATCATATGTTCTTAAGGATATGGTTGGAAAACAGGCAAACGTTGGGACACAATCCATAGCTCATTTTAAAACTGCACTCCCTTGGGCAGATTAAAGAAATTTTAGGGCTTTTTCTACTACTGAATGTGTCCTTGCATTAATATGTGAATAACTTTAAATAAATAGGCTTCATTTTCATGGTTTTGAATACTGGTATATTTTCTACCGCAAGTGTGGTTCCAGTATTGGGATTGTTCCAGTATCTTTGAGACCCTAACTGCATCTTATTTTATTTGATTCACCCCAGAGAGAAATGGCAGTGTTTTGTGTTAAGAACTGTGTGCCGTTGGCAACAGAGGCTGGCCTTCATAATATTTACCACTAGATAGACAAGGGAGCAGCACTCAGTTCAGGTTTTTTTTCTGGTCGAATGACAGGTATGCCTGCCTGATGACAATCCAGCTACACTCCAGGCAGAATTTGATTAACCAATAGCTATCATGCAAGACTTAATGAAATACCAGAAGCAGGTGTTAGACTGTAGTGTCCCAGTATCCCTTAGTTTTGCTTACTGGTGCAATGCATAGCATGGTAAGGCAGTTACACTGGGATTACTGTCTGCGACACTAACCAGAACTGGGTTTTGTTTTGCTTTCCTGTCCTTATCTGCTTGCTTTTTTCTCTTGTCATAGATTTAAGCTGACACAAAAGTCCTGTTTTTTTCTTGCATGTGTATTACTCAGCACAAAGTATTATTCATATATGCTGGAAGTTCCAAGTGTCCGCAGAAGGCAAATAAGAAACAATAAGGATTTCTGTCCTTTCCATTTAGAGTCCCTTTTCCTTAAGTACACCTGCTTGGATAAATGCTGACTCGGAGAAGACATTTGACCGTTTGTTCATATACAAATAATTGCAATTAAATGCTTCAGATTTTTTTTTTTCTCCCTGCTAGGGAATATTTCTGAAACATAAACTGTCAGTTCATGCAGTGTGTTGAATTCTTATACGTTACAACAGCATGAATAAAGTTGGCTGAAGGGATTTTAAGTCCACATACCTCTTCTCCAAGCTTCAGAAAGTAAGTTAGAGGAACAGGGTTTTGAAAGCAGTTTAACACTGTTCCGGTTGTTTCTGTGTTGCAGGCAGAAGTTGTATTTGCATGCTACAAAAGCCATAGCTCTATTCAAAGATGAATGCGTCAGCAAGTATGATGCGTTTTTGGACAAGGCTGAGGACTGGACAAGGCAAGCTATTGATTTCTTTAATATTTGGTAATGTTCACTGCACCACTTTTATAAAAGGAAACTCTTAAAAGAAAACTTTTTTTCTTTTAGGAAAATGCTTCACACAAGGAAGCAGTTACTGGCTCTCACCAACCAGTGTTTTGATATTGAAGAAGAGGTATCCAAGTACCAGGATTATATAAATGAGGTAGAATGCTTCAAAATTATGTACAGTGTTTGCATAGATAAAAGACTGTTCCACATTGTTTAATGTCAATAGTGTTGTTTATAGTAAGTCTTACATTAATGCAGTTGTATTAAAATATTGGGCCGCATGGGCGTAGTATTTGGTCTATAGTAGCTTCAATGCTGGTGTCAGAGTGGCGTAAAGAGTGGTGTGATTTATTGAGTCCTGACTTGATTTTGGAGTTTGGTGGGGGTTTTTTTGTTTTGTTTTGGTGGGGTTTGTTTTTTGTTTGTTTGTTTGTTTGTTTGTTTTTTTGTAATGTTAGCATTCCCCCAAAAAAATCTGTGCAAATGGATGTGGGTTCATTGAGAAGTGTTCTGTGTAACTGTTGTCATAATGGTATCTGAGCACCTAGAGGATTACCTTAATACTCTTACGAAGCATAAAAACACTACTCCCATATTCAGGATTAGGGGATACACGCTTAGGGATACATGCTTAAGGATACATGCTAAACCAGTGCTGCTGGTGACATGAAAGGAAATGTTTTGTTAAAATTTGGACGGTGACTCTGCGGGATGCAAACTTATCAGAATTACCTCAAAATTGAAAGAATAAGAGCATTTTCATGCAGTAAAATTATTATTCTTTATAAAGGAAATATAAATGAAAGAAAAGCACCTGATAGGTGTAAAAGCAGTTAAGGAACGGTAGACAGCAGCATTTTACTTGTTATTTGTTTGTATTTTGGTAGCACTACTGAAGTCAGTTGTTGAGTAGGATCCTGTTGCCTTTGGATATCTACAAACATAACAAATAGATAATTCTTCCTTTTGAGAGTTTATTATCGAAGTATAAGACAGCTAAGAAGATGGAACAAATCAGGGAACTATAGGTCATGTCAGTACAAAACTCGCCATGATGATCTCAACTTGGGGAATATCAGCCACCTTACTATTGTAATGATTTTATGAGGCATCATAGCGATGAAGAATTTAAAGAAGGATTTTAAAGTGGACATCAAGATACATATGACAGCTTATATTGTAACTTACATTTCCTTTTTATCTATTGCAGTTACAAGATGCTCTGCCGCAGAAAATGTTTGCAGCTTCCAGTGGGATGAAACATACAATGAATACAGTCTATCCAAGCTCAAACACATTAGTGGAAATGACTCTTGGGTGAGAACTTCTTAATTGGACTGATGTAATATTCTCTACCTGTTATACAGGCGAATTGAAAAAAAAAATTACAGTTGACTTAGTGATTGCTTTATTAAGACTAAGAATTTTATATTGCAGAAAAAACTTTATATTGCTAAAGTGGTGGTACAGGTTTGGAAACTTTTAGTAAATAACCAACCTGTTATCTGTCCCTTATTTTGTATGTTACGACAAATTGCTGAAAGCTTTGTGGTGGTGAGTGATCATAGCAGATAACTGTCCCTATAAAAATTTTAACCTTTCTTTTGCTTCTTGTTACTACAGTATGAAGAAACTAAAGGAGGAAATGGAAGGGGTTGTTAAAGAGCTGGCTGAGAACAATCACATTTTGGAAAGGCAAGCAATTGTTTTCTCTTTTTGGGCTGATATTAGGAACAGGCTTAATTTCGTACATTTTGTAGATCCAGAACTTACACTAAGGGACAATTCTGTAATCTCTTTAACTGTAAATATATTTTTGAACCGTTGATCTCAGGTGTAACAAAAAAAAAGAATGTATTCAAAACCTTGAAATGTTACTGTAAAATCATTCTGACACAGCAGTCGTGGCATGTTTGCGTTGCACAGACAGATTCATTCCTTTTAACTCCTCACTTTTAGTCATAACTTTTAACAACTATGGAATTATACCAATCTGAATGAATGATTTTTCAGTTTTCAGATTGCTTAAATAAAGTGAAGAGAAAGAGGCCAACATATTTCTTATAATCCTGAGAGGGTACTGTCACTATCACATACAGACTGACTTTGCTTTTTTTCTTATGATGATGGTAAAATATATAAAAATAATGATCTCCTGAAAGCTTTAGGGTAAATTGCTGGTAGAGCTGAGCTTAGCTTCAAGCTGAATTGGTTTTGTTTTGTTCCCCACCCCCAGTCCCATACTTGGAGCATAGTATCCTTTCTTCTATCTTCTTTTCACATACAAAATCTAGATACAAATGCATGTGTTGGCATGCAGCAAGGGAAAAGAAAAACCCATAAATAAATTATAATGAATTAAGGATGGATTCTATAATCTAGTCAATCACCTAAGAATACACTGTTTTTTCATTTTAGATTTGGTGCTTTGACTATGGATGGTGGCCTGCGGAACGTGGACTGTATCTAGCTTTCAAAGGACCAGAAGAGGACTTGTAAATTTTTTCAAAGGGAAAAAAATACTGTTGGGACACTTAAAGGCAGATAATAAATCTGTATCCAGTTTTTTTTTCCCCTCTGCAACTGTAATATTAAAAAAATGTAAATATGTATAATATGTAAATATAAAAGAAATATATATCTTTTTTTGGTCAATGTTAGAATAGAATAACTTCTGGCAGGGAATTTGGCCCCTTGGAGGATCTCTGACGAAGTCCTAAAGGCAAAAGTGTTGTTGATGAAACTGAAGTTTGTTTGCTTTGAATATTGCCCCTTTTTCAGAATGCAATTTAGTCTTTATTGCAAGAGGACTTGCAGAACTCTAAACATTATGAATAGTCTTAAAGGGTGTTTTGGGTTTCCTTTAACCACCACTGTTGTTTTGGAGCCTAGCTGAATGACTCTGATCATCACAGAACATGACAACTGTTTTAAATGAGATCTTTTCACATAAGTGTGAATAGGGACTAAAAGCGCAGATAGGACAGAGTGGAAATGCATTTCTCTTTCCTTCACATCCAAACTGTTAGTTCACTTCTACTTGAGAAAACAAATTCATGATATTTTTTTAAGTTCCTCTCCGTATTTGGTGCCATGTTGTCTGTAATCATTTGACTGCTCTGTATATGGAAGTTTTGCACTCCAGGTTGTCAAGACTGAATGGTAAAAACTTTTTTTTAAGAGTACAGCATTTTCAGAATTTCCCTGAAATCAGGTTGTTCACCACAAGAGAAGCGGGTTCTTAAAATAAAATAACTTTTTCAGAATCCTGTTTGCAGACATAATTTTTAAAAAAGGTTAAAAATCAGTATTAGGAGAATTTGTGGGCAGTCAGTAGACTAGATAGCATCATGCCTCAGTGGTAACTGAATATTGGAAAAATAAGTTAACCTTCTAGATCTTGAAAAGGGACTGCACCCACTGCTGACTTACGACAGATACCAAACTTAGCTGGAAAATTTAGTAAGACTATATATTTATTTTCCGGTATCGGTAGTTACTACTTTCAGTACTACACGATCGGGTTGCAGAGCTGCAGAATGGAACAGTCTGCTCCAAAATACGTGTAGGAGAGGAGAAGGAGAAGAGGAAAACAAACAAACAAAAACTCAGAAAACACCCCTTACTTTGTTTGGATCCTACAGGTGTACTTGCATGCTTTTCGTCTGAAACAAGTAAACATTGCAGGACTCCTTCTTTCCTTGTGGAAACCTGGCCATGGATGTTCAATGGTGTCCATAGCACTTCTAGTTGCTCTATTAGATCTGTAAGAAGAGCTGGACCAACTATATTTAGAAATTTCTATAATTAGTGGTGAAACATTTAGGTATAAACTAAACAGCGGTAACCTGTGATAGCATCTGATAATTTTGTGATGCTTATTCCCTGTCCAGGTCAGAAAACAAAACATTTCCATTGCATTTTTTTAAAATATTTGAACAGAAACTTATGAGATTTATAATTGATTATAATTGATTCTTTCATTGTTAAAAGAAGAGGAAATTCACTGCCTTGATGTCCGAGACCTGCTTTCCAGTGTTCTGGAGAATCAAATATTAAAAGGGAATTCAGATATTTTTACACCTACGTGAGCAGCTTCTTTCTTTGCAAGCTTTGTCCCCCAAAACTCTAGCTATGCAAAAGGAGTGCAACACTTTGTTATATGTTTTTCCTTGGTTAGCCATGGCATTCTTAACCGTTTGTTTTAAAATACCGGAATCATGTCTAACTGGAATGTTTAATGCCTGCTTGTGCATTTGTTCGTTGTTCATGCAGTTTCACCAAGTGTCAGTAAAACACATGCATAAGTGTTAAAAGAATTGGGCTCTCAAACCGTGCATAAATTGTATTTTTTTCCAACATTATGTCTGTAACACTTTGTTGGTTCAAAGGCTCCTAATTTTGAAAGAAATCAAGTGTCGATTGGAATATATCATTTTCAACTTCTTTATACTGAAGCAGTCTGAAAAAGAACATTCATTGTAGTAACAATATAGTCTGTATGTTGAAGTATGCGCAGCATTCTTTTACATGGTTGAAAATGTTTTGTTATATTTTATGTTCATTTTAAACATTGCTGGTTTTAGTGTTGCTAAATACATCAGTAATCTTAATCTCGCTAAAATTTCTTTTTCTAAAGCAATTTTAACTAAGCAGTAGCTAAGGCACTTGCAGTAGTCAGTTCATAATCTACTGATCACGTTCTTAGGAAGCAAATAGATTTTTCAAGTCAAAGCGTAGCGTATTGTACCATCAATTTTTGGCTCAAACTAAGTGTCCTGATACTATCAGTCATGCTACTGATTTGCCAAAAGAAGTAATAGAAAGTAATATATGGTTCTTCCTCCTGAAGCTGGTTTACTGTTTTGGGGGGTTCAGCTTAGTATATTAATTATCTGTTACTTGAACAAACCTCTCTTCATATGAATTGTGAAAATGCATGAGTGAATGACTTAATGACATAAATACATCATCAACCACTTATTGTACGGTGTGTACTTACTTCCGTGTCTTTCCATAATTTCACTTTCTGTTAATTTCAGTATTACCTTATAATTTTTATTTCCTCTCAAGGACAAGACAAAGCCTGAAATCTGAAGTAGCAAATTGCAGCTTAGCTTGCACCAGCCAGCTGTCCAGAAAACGTGGCCTGTACAACGGAATCACTAGCATAGGCTATATGGTAGAGCCACTAATCCTTTTTATTTATTTTTTTCACCGCTCTGCTGACGTGTGTTCTGAGCAGTATTCGTTCTCTGTAACGGTGGCAAAATTCCTAGTCTCTGCTCGGTGTGAAACAGTGCACTGGTGGAGCTCAATCAGCACTAATTTAGTTAATCACTGTGGAAGTGGTAATCACAGAATAATTTTGGATATAATACTATGTCAAGGATTAAAAAGGCTGAACGGAAAAGATTACTTCTGGGGTTTTTTTAAGCTTGAAGCCTAGAAGAGGGGAGATGTGGAATGAACTGCAGTCGCATCAACTTGTTTGGGTAAAATTAAACACAGAACTATTACTCAGTAGCTGCATAGCCTGCAGTTACTGTGATCTCCCTTCCAGGGAGGGCAGGGTAATTGGTTTGGCTAGCCATGCTGGGGTAGCTAATCCAGTGACGGCTTCTAGCTAGGGACCTGAAAATCAGCGGGATGGACGCCCACCCCAGTCTGTGCAGAGGAAAACTTGCCTTACCTGTGAGCAGCCCGACGATGGGCGCTTTTAAACTGCCTTCTAAAAATTAAAAAGAGATACTGGCCGCTTGAAGATAAGTTAGGGGAGAAAAAAAGAATGGCTAGGGTCTGGAAAACTCACTGGAGGGTGACTGGGAAAAAATGGGAGATGGCTGGCTGAAAGAAGATTGGAAGAAGCGGGGAGCAAAAGTTTTCAGTCATCTAAAGGCTGGTACGGAAGATCAACGTTCACCACCGTGTCTGTGGTGAAAAGATTAGAGATTATGAATATAAATGGTAGTGCACAAAACAAAAACATCCAGACTACGAGTTTGGAAAAATCGTTCCAATAATGAAGAGAGTCAAGTGCCAGAAGAGAGTGTTCTGGGAACTGAGCGATACTGGTTGACGAGGGCTTTTAGGAACAGGTGAACTGTTGGGAGCTCTTGTGGCCGATTCTGCCACTGGCAAGGCTGCGTGTGACCTTTTAATTTTCTGTGCGCTAAACAGCTTTTTTTGGTTATTTGTTCCACTGATCAAAAAAAATGTGGTGGGGTAGTATCCCCCAGTGGAGTTGGCTATTTTGACCCTGGTACAAGCCTGGCCAGCAGCAGTTGTACTTGTAAACACGCATCTTTTGGAGAACTTTGTTTCCTGTTGACAAGGAAGACTGACAGCAACAAGTAGCGCTGCTGGTGTGCTACAAACACACAGTGTTTGCAGTTGTTCAAAGTTGTATTCTGCTCCTGAAAACTTACACAAGCGTCCAGTGAAGTCTGTGACCACCCGGGCTTCCACAGCCTTCCCGTCAAGGTACGGGTTGTGTCACCGCTGCCTGGCCACGGGAAACCTTTCCCGGACTAGCTGCTCTAAGTAACTTGGGCAGATCATTTTAATCAGAACCTATTAAAGTGCATCACCAGCTCTTGCCAGCTCCCCCTGTGCCAGCTTCGGCATCCTCAAGCACGTTTATGCCTACGATGCGGGGTTTGTCAGCAATTGCAGAGCCGGTTGTGAGCAAGCGCATCCGGCCGAGCGGCCCTGTGCCGTGCTGGGGGGAGCCGAGCTCGGCACCTCGCTACGCCAGCCCGTAGCTTTGCTTGGCAGGCACATTTGCTAACTCACGGTGCGAGAAGATGATGCTGGCACAATCGTACTGCTGCTCCCGCGCTGACGGCCATGGGAGCCCTACAGCAGCTTCAGATTCAGGCAGACAGGAGGGGTTTACAATCTTTAAAGAAATGAGGTCAAAAGACTTCACTTTTTTTTTTTTTTTTTTTGCACTTTCATTCCTTGGAACCCTCCGCATGAACGTGCAGGTGAATTGCTCATAAATCCTGTATCTCCACATCCTGAAAACAGCTTGCGGCTGGGCTACATCCATACCACTTAAAATCTGTGCAAGGCTGCATTGAAATAGATGAAGTTTCTAACGTCTAGGAGACGCGACAGCCGAACGCACCAGTAAGCTCACTGACAACGTGTTCTGAAGCTGTGGGTTTGACAGACCCGGGCTTTACCTCGCTTACGGTGCTGTGACTCGCTGCCAGCTTGCTACAGAAGGGGAGGCTGGGCTCGGAGGAGCGACCGGCGGGGCCGGGGCCCGCACTGCGCCCGCCTCCCC